ATATAGTACCCCCCACTGCAATCCCTACTAAGGAGCTGTTCGGATGAGGGGGAACATCCCAAGTTTAGGGTTTCGGGGGCCTTTCGGGGCGTTTCGGAGGGTTCGGACTGACTCCTCAAGCGTGATCACGAGCTTTCTATCGTGCAACTTGGAGAGGGGGATCCGGTTGAGGGTTGAGTGCTTAGGGTTTAGGGTTAAGGGTTTAGGGACTGAAGGCTGAGCAAAGGGTGTGAAAACCATTCAGACTGGAGCAAGCCCCCCGCAACAGCAAGAAGAAAAAGGGGGGCCCCCAGGCGCCCCTAGAAAGTCCTATATAGCCTACAGCTCCTACACACTTCCCACAACCGTGGCCTAGGGCCCTTTGCACCTTTACACCCACCTTAACAAGCTCAAGCCCAAGCCACGAGCTTGCGCATCCTCAAGCCTCACCTAGGGCTCTGGAATCTGTACAAGGGCGGAAGACTAGTGCGAGGGAGTTGTCCCAAAATCACGTCCTTCGTGGAAGCCCGGTTGCGAACAGGACCTCATGAGAAATGGCATCAAAGGAGGGCCTTTTTGCTTGAGAGCAATACACCTTGGCAGTCAACCACGTTGCCACCCCTGGGTTTCGACGTTTCGAGACACTACTTCGCAAGGATTCCCATGAACTTTGGGAGTTTCATCAAGTCTTGGTCTAAAGGTGTCTGCTGCTGCTGCTCTTAGGCCTATATATCAAAAGCTGGGAGGCAGCAAGGCTCTTCCCTAGTGCCCACCAACTTGGGTGCAGCCAACCCTGAAGTGAAAGCCAGGAATAGCACGCCAACCGTCCCTGCAACGTCGGGCTACACCCCACGAGGGCGGCCCGAATGCACTGAGCTGAGCTGAAGTCTTCAGGGGGTCCTGCCCGGAGTGTTTAGGGCACAGGGCACAGGGTTTCGCGCTCGGGTACCAGGAACCCTTTCTGAGAACTCTCCTATACATAAACCCTAGAAACCCAATGAACCCTATCAACCCAAAGCAGCACAAGACCCTTTAAGCCCAAAACCCTTTACCAAAACCTCCCGGAAGCCCTCTGTCCTAAACCCCATAAGCCCTAAACCCTCAATCTGTTTTTCAAAAGCGCCCAGTCGCCCTCAACCCTAGACCCCTAAACCTAAACCTTAAACCCTAAACCATAAACCCTAAATCCATCACCCTAAACCCCTTAAACCCCCACAAGGCCTTGACCCCGCTTGTACCCCTCTTATAGCCCTTGTAACCACCCCCTTACACCCCCCCTTAACCCTGAACCCTAAACCCTAAACCTTAAACTCACTCGCCCTAAACCCTAAACCCTAAACCCTAAACCCCTTATACCCCCCTTCGAACCCCCCTGACAGGTCCCCGAGCCCGCCGGCCTCCACGGCTTCGGCCTACCTCCCGCGCTCGCAGCTGCCCGGGCTGAAATGATCAAAGTAAGTCGTTTAGGGTTCAGGGTTCAGGGTTCAGGGAACCGTTCAGGGTTTAGGGTTTAGGGTTTAGGGTTTAGGGTTTAGGGTTTAGGGTTTGGCCTTTTGCCAAATTATCCGTTGCTAAGGCCGAAAAAACCCCTGAACACCCCCCTAAGCCCCAAGCCCCTAACCCCTATCATCATCCCTTTCAAGGAGGGTTAGTGTAACGGGGGACATCCCAAGGTATTGAAACCCTAAACCCTAAACCCTAAACCCTAAACCCTCAAGGGTATCGTGCAACAAGTATGTATGCTTTCGGGGCCGATTTTAAGTGGGTGAAGGGTCAGGATAGAAAGCCGATGTTCCAAGAGTGGGATTTCAGTGCTCGCCCTAAGCCCTACAGGCTAAACCCTAAGCGCTAAGCCCTAAGCCCTAAAGCCTAAACCCTCCTGAACTGACCTAAGCCTTTCCTCCCGAGGGCGGATACCGCCGCGGTGCCCAACTCGCAAGCTGCCCCCTACATGCCACAGACCCTGCAGCAGCCCGACTGGGAATCCTAAGGTCCTGAAAAGGAACGAAGGTAGGGGGACCCCTAAGATATACCCCGAAATAGTTTGATCCCCGTATAACAAGGACCCAAATCAGGTACCCCTAATATCGGAAACTCCCCAAATTGAAGGGCTTAACTGGTTCATGGGGTAAATTGTATAGGGATTAGGGTTTTGTGGGGTTTGGGGATTGTTGGAGTTTCAGGGTTTCAGCTATAGGGCTTTGGATGATTTAGGGGATTGAGGTCACGAGCCATGAGTCATTAAGAAAACCCTAAATTTATATAAGCCCTAAACCCATAAAGCCCCTAAAGCCCCTAAACCCTAAACCCTAAACCCTAAACCCTAAACTCTTGGGGATTGAAGCATTTCTGGAGGGCATCCCAGGGTACCGTTGTTGAGGGCACTAGGGGGGACCCATTTAGGCCTTAAGCTTTTCATTTGGAGGTGTTTGTGGGTTTGTTGTTTGTTTTCTTGTGTCTTCCGGGGTCTTCGCTTTTCTGAGGCGCGCTCGGGTTCAGGGGGCGTGAGGGTGTGCATAGGGCAAACCTTGCTCGGCCTTCCGCATTCTGGCGAAACACTGTCGAACGTCATCTCGGAGAAGTCGAGATTCCCCTTAGGTCCCAGTGGCCAGAAGCCCAAATGCCTAAGCCAAAGGGCGAAACCTCTAGAACCCTTCAACTCTAAGCCTCTGAAGTGGCCTACCCCCTAAACCCAAAACCCTAAGCTTAATCCCTAAAGAACACCAAGCCACCTTAAGCGCCTAAACCCCGCCTTAGACCCCGGACCCCTCCCTTCCTCCCGAGGGCGGATATCCCCTCGATGCCCAGCTCGCAAGCTGCCAACTACATGCCACAGACCCTGCAGCGCCCCGGCTGGGAATCCTGGGACCCTCCGAGGGCTTGAAGTAAAGGGTTTAGAGGGTTTACAGTTTAGAGCGTTTAGAAAGTTTAGAGGGTTTAGACAGTTTCGAGGGTTTAGAGGGTTTAAAGGGTTTGGAGGGTTTAGATGGTTCAGAGGGTTTAGAGGATTTACATGGTTTGGAGGGTTTGGAGGGTTTAGGGGGTTTAGGGGGTTTAGAGGGTTGAAAGAGGTTTACGGGTCCCCCACAAATACAGCGAAAAGCCCCAACACAAGGGACCAAGGGAGGACGATTTCAGGCTGGCGTTGGATAAAGCTTATTGAGGCTTGGCACGGGCTAACACTCTAAACCCCAAGCCCCTCAATGTCCCCCTTCAGTGGGCTTCTTTTGTGTGGCGCCCCTTAGAAATCCATGAGGCAAGGCCTCCCACAGCCCGAACTCGAACGAAGGCGAAGTTCACAATCTTCGGGGCTTAGGGCTATTCTTCGGCTTAGGGTGGTAGGGTTTAGAACGTGCTTCAGGGCTATTTTTTGGCTTAGGGTGTAGGGTTTAGAACGTGCTTCAGGGCTCAAGTGAGCTCGATGGTCCTCAGGCCCCGGATTTTGGAAAGCTGCCGTTCTCAGAGCTTCGGCCCAACGCTTGAAAACCCTAAAGACATCGATTTCCTACGCGTAAACCCCAGACCCAAAAACCCAAAACCACCCAAAACCCAAAACCCTAAACCGAAACCCCAAACCCAAAACCCTAAACCCCTAAACCCCAAAACCCTAACCTCTAAACCCCCAAACCCGAAACCCTAAACCCAAAACCCAAAACCCCCAAAACCCCCAAAACCCTAAGCCGTAAACTTTATGCGCCGCCAAGCCCAGGAAGGTCCTTCCGGACCTGCCCGACGCGTACGCGCGGCCAGCGGTGCCGCAGCAAGACCCGCCGCTCGGGAAGTTTAGGGGTTCAGGGTTCAGGGGTTCAGGGGCTTAGGGTTCAGGATTTCGGGTTTAAGGTTTAAGGTTCAGGGTTCAGGGTTTTGGGTTTTGGGTTTAGGGTGTCTTGTTAGGGTTGCAGGTTTGGATGTAGGGTTTAGGGCTGCGGCTCCTCGGAGCATGTTCTTTATCACTGTTCTGTATGGGGGGGTGAGGGGGGTTTCCAAGAGGTCTAAGGAGCTTTTCGGCGGATTTCAGGAGGTGTAGAGCGAGAAGATTAAGGGCTTAGGATTTAGGGTTTGGGGGGTAAGTCAGGGTATCGGGGGGCTAGTGGACTAACCTGCACCCCACAATCGCTTAAAGCGGTTTGGGGTTTGAGGGTTTCAGGGCTTTAGGTAGTTTAGGGTTTAAGGATTTTGGGGGTTTCAGGGTTTTAGGGACCTGGGCGCCCTGAAGATCTGTTTGCCAGCCTCTCTTCACAGGCACCTGCCTGCGACGCAGTGTCTGCATGCCCAGCCCCTTGGCAGGTTTTGGGCCCCCGTCTCTAAAAACCGTGAACCCTAGGGGCACCCATAACCTCACCCGCTTTCTAAGCCCTACGCCCTAGACCTTATCCTCGGCCTGCAATCGACTGTGCTGACCTTCCCCCAAGCCTCTTGGACCCAAAGCTCTACACAAAAAAAGTTGCTATTGGGTTTTTTTCGGGGTTACCACATTATGCCCATGAGTTTTGGCCTAGACCAACCCCAAACCCTAAAACCCCTTACCTTCACCTCAACCCTCCCCTCGAACACTAAACCCAAAGCCTCAAAACCCTGAAGGGTTCAGGATCTAGTCCCGTTTGTGTTCCAAAAAGCCCTATAAGCCCAAAGAAACCTCATCCTCATAAACCTTGCAGCAATTTTAGCCCTGAAAACCCTACAAACCCTCTTTTCAGTCCCAGGCATTTATAAAACCTCCTAAACCCTGTAATGAAACTCCAATCATCTATAAGCCCAAACCCTAGAAACCCTATAATGAGTCCTTCAACCCTATCCAAGAAACCCTATAATAAACCCCACAACAAACCCTATAATCGCCCCTAAACCCTAAACCCTAAACCCTAAACCCTAAACCCTAAAGCCCAAACCCTAAACCCTGAACCCTGAACCCTGAACCCTGAACCCTGAACCCTGAACCCTAAAACAACAAGAGAGCATGTTGCACCTCAGGGCCCAGGTGCCCCCTGAAGATCTGAGCCGTATTCCCTGACTGGTGGGAGATGCTCATGTGGTTGTGGTCCTCAAGGGAGGGGGTTTCAAGGGGGGTAGGTACTACACCCTAAACTCTAGACCCTAAACCCGAAACCCGAAACCCTAAACCCTGAACCCTAAACCCTTAAACCTAAACCCCCAGAATCATGTAGTTGTGGTCCATGGCTGCGATGCGGAACCGACCGATCTGGATGAAGTTGGTGCCGAAGGTGATGCCCTGCGGAAACCTTCGGATCCACTGCGCGAAGGAACGAAAAGCTAAGCCTGAAGAGCCTTAAGAAATGATGAGAAAACTCATAATAATAATAACAAAAAACACAACAACAAAAAAAGGGACAACAACAGCGCAACCACCAGGAAGAGCCCCAGACAGTTTCTCAAGCTTCAGAAAGCGAGGAGCCCGCTGGGCCTGTGCCAGGAGCCCTAATCCCTACGGGGACCGGGGTGCAGGGTGCCATCCCAACGGTAGATCTGGGCGGTGATCCCATTCCTTGGTTACTAGGGTTTAGGGTATTTGGGTATTAGGAGATTAGGGTATTAGGATATTTGGGTTTAGGGATTAGGGTTTAGGGTTTAGGGGATTAGGGTTTAGGGTTTCGGGTTTAGGGTTTAGGGTTTAGGTTTAGGGTTTAGGTTTAGGGTTTAGGGTTTAGCGTTTATAGAAATTGTATAGGGTTTGGGTCCCAATAACGTTTTGAGCGAAAGTTTTGACCGAAACGTTTTGAGCGAAAGTTTTTTTTGTTGGAACCACATTTTTGTTTTTGGGAAGGGCGGGGGGCTGGGTGGGCAGGGCCGAGCCTCGCGGGGGGTTTGGTTTGGGGGGGGGGGGGGGGTGGGGGGGGGCGTTTGTACAATCAGCCCTAGAATCACCCTAATCATCTCTACACCCTAACCATTAACCTGAAGCCTAAACCCCAAACCCCAGACCCTAAACCCTAAACCCTAAACCCTAAACCCCTGTCAGCCCCCTCTCATCCTTTGAGCATGCCGAGGAGCGCGCCCCTGGAGGCCACGCCGGGAGAGGTGCGCCAGGCGCCTCAAGAAGTTGAGGGGTTAGGGTTTGGGGTTTAGGGTTTAGGGTTTAGGGCTTAGGGCTGAGGGCTTAGGGGTTAGGGTTTAGGTTTTAGGGTTTTCGGCTGGGAGTCTTAGATCAGACATCTGCCACTCAGATGTAGCTGAAAGTCGCATGCCGAGCAGAACAGCCCCTTCAAAAGTCTATCAGAAACCACAATGCCTCGCTTCCGTAACTTAAGGGTCACGTCTCATACGAACTCGGTACAACCGTGCAATCCTAAGCCCTGAACCCTAAACCTAAAACCCTAAACCCTAAACCTCGAAGATTTGGGGGGCAAGCCCTCCCTCGGTCCACGAATCAGGTGACGTTCACACCACGACAGCCCTTGGGCATCTACGTGGCCGACGTGGCACGGGGACGGGTGTCTGAGGCCAGGGCTTCAGGGTTTAGGGTTTAGGGTTTAGGGTTTAGGGTCTAGGGTTTAGGGTTTAGGGTTTAGGGTTTAGGGTTTAGGGTTTAGGGGTTAGGGGTTAGGGGTTAGGGGTTAGGGGTTTATGGTTTAGGGTTTAGGGTTTACGGTTTACGGTTTAGGGTTTAGGGTTTAGGGTGATGATTGGGCTTTGCCTGGGTCATGGGGTGCGGGGCTTGCTGGGCATTCGGGTTTTCTCATGCCTTTACCCGAAGCCCTACCTCAAACCCGACAACCCCAAACACGAAACCCCAAACCATCCCAAGCCCCGAAGTTCCTTCTCTGCGCAACCCCAAACCCCCAAAAAGCCAACAGAGACCCAAACAGACCTAAGGTCCATAAACCCACCCCAAACCCCAAACCCTAAACCCCAAACCCCAAACCCAGCCCCAAACCCCAAGCCCCAAACCCTAAACTTACTCTAAACCCCATAAGCCCTAAACCCTATGAGCCTTAGACCCTCAAACCCCCCCCCCCCCCCCCCCGGCCTGGCGCGCAGGTCTTCGATGGCCAGGCTAAGGACCCCCACGCGTCGGGGGGGGCGGGGCCATGCTTTTTGGGGTTTAGGGGTTTGGAAGTTTAGGGTTTAATTTAGGGTTGTGGGGGTTTAGGGTTTAGGGTTTAGGATTGAGGCCCGCTGCGGAGTGCCTAGCTAAATTAATTTTCCATCCTTGCCTGCAGGAAACAGCGATTTTGCAAGGCTAAGGGCGGGCCGTGGTTGTGGGGTGTGTGGCTGTGTAGGAGGTTGGGAAGACTCTGTGTTGGGCAGAAAGAATAGCCCAATAGATGGCACAGGGCCGGGACAAGCCAAAATGAATATTTCAGGCCCTGCAAAATCATAAGAATAGTTTTGCACAGAGCGGGGAGGTTCCAAAAAGATTTTCCGCGACCTCTAGAGAACATTGTGGCCTTCTCTACCTGTCTGCGAACTGTGTGGTTCCTGTCTTCCCCCCTCCCCGCCCCCACCGACCAAGCACCCCCCCCCCCCACCCCGGCCTGGAGTGTGTGTGAAGCCATCCAGGCATCAAATTTGGGGTTTCAGGGGCTTTGCACTTTCATCCCAACAAAGCGCACGGGCAGTTTACGGCCCGAGGACCCTTCTAGAACAACCGACTGAACCTTCCAGTGTAGGCCCTAAACCCTAGACTCTCAATACCCCTAAACCCTAAATCGTATTTTGGGGGCTTTTAAGGCGCAAGGACCCTACTAGAACTACCCACTGAACAATCCAGTGTTGACGCGCTACAATTTATGAACCCTTTTGAGTTCCCCCGGAGCTCGTAGGCTTTTGGGCTCATAGGGATTTTGGGGGTTTAGGGTTTATAGGGTTTATGGTTTAGGGTTTATAGGGTTTAGGGGTTTAGGGTTTGGGGTAGTTTAGGGTGTTTGAACCCAAGCGCTTTCGGGGTTTCCAATTTTGTCCAGCCCTTCTGCCAGGACCTCGGCGTGGAGCCGCAGCCAAGCAGACATTAGACTTACTGTTGGTTAGCAGGGAATGGGGGAATGAGGTACCCAGCAGAATCCCGTAAAGGGGAGAAAATCTATGTAAAAAAAGATTCCCTCAGTGCCTGCTAACCAACAGAGATTGGAAAGCACTGCTCCGGGAAAGGTGCAGAGGTTGGTTCGTTCGGGTTTAGGGTTTCGGGTATAGGGTTTAGGGTTTTGGGGGGTTTGGGTTTTGGATTTAGTATGTTGTGCTTCTGATATATGGGTTAAGCCGTTCGGGTCTTGGAGTGCCCTAAACCCTAAACCCTAAGTCCCAGCCAAAGGCTACTAACCATGGCTGAGAAGCTCACAGGAGCTCTGAGCTTTTGGTGGTTTAGGGTTCAACTGGTGTTAAGAGTTTGGTGTTTTAGTGTCTCCGGGTTTTGCGTTTCCGGGTTTTAGGGCCGTTTAAACCCGTAAGCCCTAAAACCTCAAGCCCTAAGCTCGTTTTCAGGTTGGGGGCTTGGGGGGATCTCAGGTACTTCATGATCCTGTCCATTGACGGGCAGCCATACAGAGCCTCGTCTGGAACAACCCAGGAGCTTTTAGAGCTTAGGGTTCGGGGTTTTGGGTTTAGGGTTTAGGGTTTAGGGTTTAGGGTTTAGGGTTTAGGGTTTAGGGTTTAGGGTTTAGGGTTTAGGGTTTAGGGTTTAGGGTGTCGGGATAGGCCTCCCAGACCATACCAATGTAAATGTAGGAACCAGCTTAACTTCAGACCAATGTATTCTGACGCGCAGCCCGGACTTTTTGTAGCCTGCACCCCACAACCCTGAATCCTGAACCTTCGCTAGACCCTGAAACCCCAAAACCATTTCCTCGGCAGTATAGCAGGCCTTTGCTGCTTATCTTGTGGTTGCAGACCTGAGCCCTAGAAAGGCTTCTTGCCCAAACTTTGCCAAGCCCGTCACGCCCAGGTGAAGCATTGCTGGAGCAGAAGAAGGAAGGCAACGCACCCTACTCGGCGACCTGGCCGGAGATATCTCCTCTTTGCCGAAGAACCCCCCCCCCCCCCCCAACCAAAAAAAAACACAAGGGAAAAAACAGCTTCCGTATGAGGGTTAACAAGCGGATGGTAATCTTTGAATTTTGGGGGGTGTTTCAGCAATGTAGTAGATACAGGATTCACGGTTCAAGGGAGGCATCTGGAGTAGATTCTAAATGTTTGTGGATGTAGTCTCAGTTTTCGTTAGCTTAATAGTTGTTCGAGAGTACTATATTCAGGGTATTATTCGCGGAGTTCATGCATCTACTCCCTAGCCCCGCGCTATATTGAGGGGCAGTTCGAAAACAAGACAGCTGCTAGAAGCACTCGCCAAGAGTCTCCTCGCAGTGCCTGCCAGGACAGGCTATAATACCCTTTAACCCCTGAAAAACGCCCTTTATAGGGTTGATTCTGAGGATCATAACCCTAAACCCTATAGACCCTAGACCCTAAACCCTAAACCCTAGTAGCCCATCCTGGTGCCCTGCAGGTGATGATTCGTCACATTGCACCTCCCGATGCAGAGGTCGCCCTGGAGTGCGTCAAGGCCTGCAGGGCTGCTTGGAGGTTCATGTGGTGGGTTTAGGGTTTAGGGTTTAGGGTTTAGGGTTTAGGGTTTAGGGTTTAGGGTTTAGGGTTTAGGGTTTAGGGTTTCCGGTACAGAGTTACCACTCGAAGGTGAGTGGATACCCCAGTTAAGGTCTCAGGCATTTAAGTGCGACTTGAACTTATACTCGTGCCAGGGTTTAGGGTTGAGGGTTTAGGGTTTAGGGTTTAGGGTTTCTAAGCATGAGTCTATAGTTATAACCTACATAGACGACTTAGGGGGCTTATTTGCAGGTTGATGGGGGGGGGGGTTATGGGTGGTGTTTATCACTAGGATGTGCAAGTGTATCCTCAGAAGAACCGCATATTTGATTATTTGCTAAGAAGCCCCTTATGAGTTCTTATCTGCGAAGGTTTACCTGAAGAGCTTTAAATCACCAACTCTTTTGCAGCTTGCTCTATGCCCCCCCCCCCCAATGTTTTTGGACTCTTCGGGAACTCCCGAAGAATCCTAACAAGGGGCTGGATAGCAAGATCCTGCAAGGCAGGTGGGGCTTGGCAGTCTTGAGGCAAAACACGTAGGCTCCGGACCTGCTAAGTCTCAAGCCCTCCCCCCATCTTAATGGGGTTCCGGGGTTTGGGGGTTCAAGGTTTAGGGTTTTCAACTCTCAACCGCACATATAACCCTACCGAACCCAATGCCTCTTTGCCTTCGTAGGTTATCAAGGAATCCTCAAGAGGATTTCTTGAAAACTCATACGAAAACTGAGCTTGGGTTAGACCTCTTAACTGCACATGCGGTTTAGGGTTTGTAAGGTTTAAGTTTAAAGCGTAATCAGCCCGAAGCCCTTCAACCCTAAACCCCGTAAAGTAAAACTCTACAATATGCTTCTGAAACGCCCGAGCTCCTGAGCCCTCAACTGTACGTAAGCCCTAAGCCCAAATCCTAAGCCCTAAATTTCAGGGTTTAGGGCTACCCTCAACCCCAAAACCCCCAACTCTCGGCCCGAGCCCTAATTTTTAGGGTTTAGGGCTACCCTCAACCTCAAAATCCCCCGAGTCAGTGGCCTCAAGATTGCTAACTTGCCTTGCGCGCCAGGTCGTGGGCCAGGACGTGTCCATTCTACCACTGGAGGTGCGGCGGCTGGCATCCCGGCTGGGAGTTCGTGGGTTTAGGGTTTGGGGTTTGGGGTTTAGGGTTTAGGGTTTGGGGTTTGGGGTTTGGGGTTTAGGGTTTAGGGTAGCCCCTGGTTCTCCGTAGGGAATGAGGAAAATCAGGGCCCCATATATCCCCTTTAAGGGTTTCTGCGTTCCCTGATTCCCTATTAAGAACTAGCCAGTCTGGGGTTTCAGGGTTCAGGTGTTCGGGATTTATCTCATCCCAAGAAGGTGGTGCTGCTGAGAGTTTGGGGGTGGGGGTTTAGGGGGTCTAGGGTCTGGGGTCTAGGGTCTAGGGTTTAGGGTTTAGGGTTTAGGGTTCAGGTGGTTTAGGTCTAGGCAGATGAGAGGCAACCTTTGCATTCAGAGGGGCCTAAACCCTGAGCCCCCACTAAGGGCTCACCAAAGCAGACTTATACACCCTAAACCTTAGAAACCCTAAAGCCCAAACCCCCGAAAAGGCTATAAACCCTTGAACCTCTAACCTAAACCCGAAACCCTAAACCCTAGCCCTAGACCCTAAACCCTAAACCTATAGACTTAAGGAGCTGGTGCTGACTGGCGGTGAGCCTGTGACAGTTGGGCGCTCGCACCAGGACCCGATGTGTGTTTTAGGGTTCAGGGTTTGTAGGGTTCAGGGTTTGCAGGGTTTAGGGTTTATAGGATTTAGGGTTTAGGGTTAGGGGTGCAGGGTTTCGGGGTTTCTTTATCATATTCTGCCAGGGCCAAGGTTTTGGGTTTAAAGGTTTAGGGGCCCCTGTTCCTTCTCTCACAAGGTCCTGTCCGTAAGCCCTTTTTGGTCAGTTCTCTAAATTAGGGTCCTTCTTTGGGTAACAAAAATAAGAGGGGCCGCCTTAGAATAAGTACCCCCAAAAGGACCAATCACCATATCACGCGTTCCTTATTACGCGCCTCAGTAGGGCTTATTTAACCCTAAGTAGCCTAAATAATGGCGGGGAACCTAGGAGGTGGGGTAGGGTAGTATAGAGGGGGGTAGTAGCACCAGTTGGTAAGTCATGGCAGCGGGAAACCCCGAACGGCACAAGCACAACTTTGTCAGCCCTGAGGGTGTACTTGGAGGTTCCGGGAACTTCTAACCCCGATTCAAACTGTACCCCCAATAAGCCCCCTAAGTCCCCTAAGTGGGATATAAGTAGACTGCTAGTTGGGGTTCAAAGCACCCACGAACCTCCAAGTAGGGTTACTACAGCCATGCCCCCACAAGAACGAACTGGCTCCCTTCTGCAGGCGGAGTTCTTCCAGATGCTGCTGCCCGACGAGGACTGCGTTTGTGGCTGAGGATTCAGGGTTAGGGTTTAGGGTTTAGGGTTGTGGTTGAGGGCATAGGGTTTCGGGGATGGGGTTTAGGAAGGAGCCGGGTTCAAGGTCTGGGTTTAGGCCCAAGTCAGGGGGTTCGGGTTGAAGGTTGAGGGGCTCACGGTTGGTGACGTCGGGGCGCGTAAGGGGTGAGGGGTGAGGGGGCTAAAGTGCCGGAAGCCGTTGTTCCGAACCTCTCCGCGGACAAGAAGACATGGCTCGCCAATGGCCTGCGAGATATGTTGCGAGCGGCTTGTTTAGGGTTTGGGGTTTGGGGTTTAGGGTTTGGGGTTTAGGGTTTAGCTGTTTTCGAAGCTGAGTTTCCGGCCGTGCCAAACTTTGCCAGCGGGAGTGCGACGGTGGATGCTGCGAAGCTCTTGAGCATCCAGACCAACAAGGCCACTGCCTCAAACAAGAAGCACGAAAGTCCTGCTGCTACTCTGCAAACAGGATCTGGGCCAGTTGCTGCAGACGGAATTTCGTCGAATGACTGCCCGCGGCATCCACTCAGAGCGGGGTCAGGGCTCGGGGGAGTGAGGACTTTGGGTTCAAGAAGAAATGCACCTGATTTTGGAGTACTACACTTTAATACTTTTTTTGGTTCTGGGTTCCTATAATAGCTACTTATACCTAAAAAGTATATACTTTTTTTCCCGGGTCTACTCCAAAGCTAAGTGCAGGTAGTTAAACAAATAGCCTCTGTATTATATAGCGCAACAGTGATTGATATGTCAGATATGGTGTTTTTTGGAACCCAGGCTCTTGTAGGAATGCTCGTGCGGGGCTTGGAGCTTTCGGGTTGTTCTTTGGTGACCGTTTTCCTTTTTGAGGTTTTAAGAACCCTGCCACAATTGAAAGGTTAACCTATTTTGGCCCAAGGGTACTCAGCAACTGGGCGGTTCAAGGCTTGAAGGGTGCCTACCTCAAAGCCCCTGTGGGTTTAGGGTTTAGGGTTTAGGGTTTAGGGTTTAGGGTTTAGGGTTTAGGGTTTAGGGTTTAGGGTTTAGGGTTTAGGGTTTAGGGTTTAGGGTTTAGGGGTAGCCTCCAAGTCTGCACTGGGAGGCTCCAGGGAGCGTTCAAGAAGCCCTCGAAGAACAACACCGCGAAGCCCTCTGAACCCTCCGAGCCCCCCAAAATAAGCCCCGAAAACTCTAAACTCTAAACTTTAAACTCTAAACTCTAAACTCTAATCTCTAATCTCTAAACTCTAACTCTAAACCCTAACTCTAAACTCTAAACTCTAAACTCTAAACTCTAAACTCTGAACTCTGAACTCTGAACTCTAAACCCTAAACCCTAAACCCTAAACCCTAAACACTAATCCCTAAACCCTAAACCCTAAGCCCTAAACCCTAAACCCTAAACCCTAAACCCTAAACCCTAAACCCTAAACCCTAACCTAAACCCTAAACCCTAAACCCTAAACCCTAAACCCTAAACCCTAAACCCTAAACCCTAAACCCTAAACCCTAAACCCTAAACCCTAAACCCTAAACCCTAAACCCTAAACCCTGACCCAGAAGACCTGAAGCTTGTTTGGAGGAGTTGCGGAAGTGCATCTCACGTGGCTTGGAACGTGTTTGGAAGACAGGATTGGAGCCTACCAAAACCCTTGTAAGGGTTTGGAGTTTCAGGTTTAGGGTTTAGGGTATAGGGTGCAGGGTTTGGGGTGGAGGGTTTAGGGTGCAGGCTTCAGGGTTTGTAGTTTGTTTTCTCCGGTGTGGGTTTGGGCCTGAGAGTTTCGGGGTTTAGTTATGGCCAGACATATAATAAAGTGCTAACATGTCGTACCCCAAAGTAGAGACCGGCTGGGGCTTCAGTTTCTTTTTTGGGTGGCTTCGTGGGGCTTAGAAGGCTAAGTTGTTTGTCAGATTTTTGTGAGGGGGGTTCAGGTTTGTGGTTGGCTGAGGTGAGTATCATGATTGTCCCTACTAACCCCCTCTTTACTACCCCAGGTTCCCCTCCCGTAGTTGACCTCAATTCGGCTTAGTTATCCGAATTATGGGGGGAACCTAGGGGGGTAGTATAGAGGGCAGTAGCCCTAAGCCCTAAGCCCTAAACTCCGAGAGGGGAACCCATGAGAGTTGGGTGTCCAGCGGATGATCGTGTGAAACCCAGTACCTTGGGATGTTCGCCCTCACACGAACAGTCCTCAATAGGGATGTTAATAGGGGGGGGGGGGGGGTACTAGAATCCCTACTAAGGATTGTTAGCATAAGGGGGAACATCCCAACCAGTACCTCCCAAAGCCGAAACCCAGATTCGAAAACCTCTAGACCCTCCGTGTAGACCAAATGATACTCTAAAGGGGTCTATGGTCCACGCATATACGGGATGATCGCATAACTCGTGCGCATGATCCCCAGCTTGAGGGGCTAGGATTTCGGGTTTAGGGGTTTAGGGGTTTAGGGGTTTAGGGGTTTAGGGGTTTAGGGGTTTAGGGGTTTAGGGGTTTAGGGGTTTAGGGGTTTAGGGGTTTAGGGGTTTTAGGGGTTAGGGGTTTAGGGGTTTAGGGGTTTAGGGGTTTAGGGGTTTAGGGGTTTAGGGGTTTAGGGGTTTAGGGGTTTAGGGGTTTAGGGGTTTAGGGGTTTAGGGGTTTAGGGGTTTAGGGGTTTACGGATTAAGGGGTTTAGGGGTTCAGGGTTTAGCAGCTCCCACCCTAAGCCCGAAGAACCCAGGAACCCAACACCCGAGCCCCACACCCCAGCTCGCAGACTTCACCTCAGGATTTGGCGGAACACCTCTTCTCCCCCGAAACCCCAAGCACTACCAAAAACACTACGAACCTCAGACCTTCAAGGGCTTGAGTCCCAGAAGCCGAATTTCCGAAAGCCCTCCCAAAAAAGCCCTCGAAGAGCTCCCCCCCCCAGGAAACCACTTCAGCTTCTCCTGGGCTGGCGCCCTTCAATTCACGCGGCTGTCCGCCTTCGGGCTGCAGGGTCGTTATGGGGTTTACGAAATAGGCATAGGGGAGCCCCCAATACAGACCCCCAAATAGTAGGGTTCCCTTGTAATAAGGACCCCAAAAAAGAGGTACCCGCAATATCGTCAACCCCCCATATTGCTGCAGGGTTTAGGGTTGAGGGTTCCCGCGATGGGCTTGACCTCTTGCAAAAAAACTCAGTGTCTCCCATAGGCCATACACACCAACCCAGCAAAAGCCCGACAAACCCTGTTAAAGCCCCTACCCTAAACCCCAGACCCTAGACCCTAAACCCCAAACCCTAAACCCTAAACCCTAAACCCTAAACCCTAAACCCTAAACCCTAAACCCGAAGACATCCCTGCAAGCTCTTGAATGCCTTAAGGCTTACACACACACACACACACTCTACAAACCGTATCGGGTTTGAGGTTTGGGGTTTGCTGAGCCTCAAGGTGAACTCGATCTTCGTCAACCAGGCTCGATCGGGTTTAGTTCGGTTTAGGCATGAGGGTTTAGGGTTTAGGCCGGCGGGGTTTTGAGGGGCTTAGGGAATTCCAGGATTTGCAGGGACAAGGTTAACCGTGCGTTGCTCGGCTCGTAGGTTGCTGTAGGGAGCAAATAGGGTTCAGGTATGGTTTGTAGGGCTCACTCTGGGTCCGAAGTTCTGTTCTAGGCTGCGTGCGATTGCAGCAGAAGCTTGGCTTGGGGTTGGGGCTTTAGGGTTCAGGGTGCACGTTAAAGGTTTAGGGGTGTCGGGGTCAGGCTTTAGGGGACGCTGAGACACGCAGATGCTCAGACACTCAAAGGCTTAGGGCCCAAGGTTTTCTTGAGGAGCTTGATTTTTCCGCCCAAGCCCTTAGCCATCGACTGCAAAACCCTAAAGCTCGCAACCCTACAGTCAAGCTCCAAAGGCCCATTCGTATTGCCCCTGAACCCTAATTAAACCCTACACCCTACACCTTAAACCCTAAACCCCAAACCCCAAACCCCAAACCCTAAACCCTAAACCCTAAGCCCTAAACCCAACACCCCAAACCCCAAACCCCAAACCCCAAACCCCAAACCCCAAACCCCAAACCCCAAACCCCAAACCCCAAACCCCAAACCCCAACCCCCAAACCCCAAACCCCAAACCCCAAACCCCAAACCCCAAACCCCAAACCCCAAACCCCAAACCCCAAACCCCAAACCCCAAACCCCAAACCCCAAACCCCAAACCCCAAACCCCAAACCCCTTTCCGACCATCTTCAGGCCTTTCACTCTCGGAAACACTTTTCCTGCCCCTCCCTTCGCTCCTTTTTGACACACCCACCTTCACACCGATACCCTGAACCCTAAACCCGAAACCCTAAACCCCAAAACCCGAAACCCTAAACTCCAATGAGTCCCCCCCCCCCACCCCTCCCCTCCCTGAGATTTTCGCGCCGGTGAATGGCACCATGCCGCTTGGGCTGAGACTCAGAAGTGGATGCGGAGATGCTAGGGGTGCCTGCAGGGTTTAGGGTTTAGGGTTTAGGGTTTAGGGTTTAGGGTTTAGGGTTTAGGGTTTAGGGTTTAGGGTTTAGGGTTTAGGGTTTAGGGTTTAGCGGTTCAGGGTGTTAGGGCTTGAAGGTTTTAGGAGTTCAGGGGCTTAGGCTTTCGGGTTTAGGGTGTTGGGGTTTCAGGGTCTGGGATCGGGACTTGCTCGGGCTTGGGGTTTGAAGGTGTTGGTCTTGTAGCGCTGCTCGGGCTTGGAAGGGCTTTGGGTGTGAACTTGGGATGTTCCCCCTTATACTATCAGTCCTGAGTAGGGATGATCATAGGGAGTACTATAATGCCTATTAAGGACGGCTAGGAACCTGTTAGTATAAAGGGCGAACATCCCGAGGGTGAACGGTGAAGGGTTTCAGGGCTCAGAGGGAGTTGGGTGTGAGAGGGGCACAGCACGAAGCAGCTGCCACTACCCTAAACCCTGGAGACCCTAAACCCTAAACCCTAAACCGTAAACCCTAAACCCTAAACCCTAAACCCTAAACCCTAAACCCCAAATCCTCAACCAAAGGGCCTAATTACACCCCGAGCACCGGGAAACCCCTTAGTTCTCTAAGCTCTCAAGCCAGGGAGCTGCATGCTTGGGGGTTTTCTCGCCTCCTAGGCCCAAAACCCTGAGGCCCTGAAGCCCTCTTCGGGTTGAGGGAAAAGGGGTTTAGGGTTTAGGGTTTAGGGTTTAAGGTTTAGGGTTTAGGGTTTAGGGTTTAGGGTTTAGGGTTTAAGGTTTAGGGTTTAGGGTTTAGGGTTTAGAAGGCTTAGGGCTTATAAGGGCTTAGAACCTGGAACCTTGCTGCAGGTTCCTGCCTCCTGGCGCGCTGCTCTATCTCTGCAGCAACACGGATGAGGCGCTGAAAGTGCCCCGGCCTGACCAAGTGGCCAAGGGAAGTTTGGTGCTTTTAGGGGGACGTTGAGGGGTTTAAGGGTTTCGGCCAGTCTGACGCTTGGAGAGATGGAGTAGTTTAGAAGGTCGGTAGCTTCCTGATGCTGCCTTCTGCTTTGCCCTATGGATCTTCTGCTCTTAAAGGCGGTGTAGGGTTTAGTGTTTTAGGGTTTTAGGGTTTTGTTGGGTTTAGGGTTTAGGGTTGTTCCGTGAGCTGTCTGGAATCCTGGTGCCCTGTTGCCAGCGCTCTGCCGTCCCTTCCTCCACGCGGCAAACCTGGTCTAGGAGATGCCAAGAAGCTGTTGCGCCAGGCTGGGCTGCCAGCTGTCTGCGTTATGCACATGCATCGGAACTTGGGAAGCTGATCTGTGCAGCTTCCGCCGTGCAACGGTTTCGAGGTGTGACTTGGCCTGGGGGGGAGAGTTTGTTTCCTTGGCTCGTCTACATAGGAGGAGAAAAAAGCCAACCTCGCTAGACTCCCTCTTGAATGGAGCCGAAATGTCGCTATATAAGTTGCTTACGGTTTAGAAATTGTGTGAGGTTTGCCGTTTGACCCACACTGAGGCGAATGCAGTGAGGCAGCTTAGAGGCTTGCGGCGTGATTCTGGCAGATGCCGTCGTGGCTCGCAGAGCAGGTGCATCGAGCTGCTTGTGGATGCTGACACACACAGCATTGTTGAAATCAGATCCGGCATCAAGACCCTGGAGCTCGAGAGTGGGCTCGTGCGCACCTCGATCTTCGGTCCGCCGGGTTTGATTCAGAACCAGCGCTGGCAAGAGCTGTTCTTGGTACCAGAAATCGTCTTCGAACCTGTGCAACGAGCCTCTAGCCGCAAAGGAGAAGCTAACGACAGCGCAATCGCAGCTCGAGTGCGAGCATTGTGCCATTCCGGAAGTACCGTGAGCATAGCAATGATGATCTCTGATGCTGGTTATCTTGATGTCATACAGGAATCGATGGAAGCTGGCAAGGACATTCGAGTTGTTTGCCCGGAGAACAAGTTCAACGTCATTCGCAAGTTTGGAGGAATGGGCGTTCCAATTGCGCAGGTGCCAATCAGCAGAGACAGCAGATCCAGGGTACGTGCTATTCTGGATGAGGATGGTGAGGGACATGTGTGCCTGGCAGAGCCATACCGAGCATATGACAGTTCTGATATTGAGCAGACAGTGCGGGAGTTTTTGCAGAAACTTGGATGTGCGAATGTCGAGAGCAGGTACTTGATACACTCCGTTGCAAAGTTTTGGCTTGCGAACGCACTGGGATCCCTGACAGTGTTTCCTTCGCAGTGTGCTGTAGAAGCCTTGAGCGAAGTCATCGCAAAATGTGCCAACCAATCCCTGGATGCGAGGTGGCGCTGCCCGGGAAGCATGGCTTTCTTTCTGCCGATGTCAAATGTCGGCCGCATTTCAAGGTCACAGGCGAGCAGGTATGGCAGTTCGTTAGCTCGTGCAGCATTTCAAGGCGGCGGACCATTCATTCTTCACGACTCCGTAGACATAGTGTCCAAAGCCTTGCAAAAGTTGGGTTACTTCGACTCAGAGCTCACAACAACGACCTGGCAGAAGCACTTCTGGTTTTCATCAACAATGCGAAGAACAAACATTTTTTGCGTAAGCTGGACTGCCTTCCATCCAGCAAAGACTCTGCGGCAGCCGTGCAGGAACGGCTGAGGACAGCGTTTATGTCTGATCACCATTCTGGGCAGTGGCACCTTGCACCAAAATGTGTAAACTTGCGTGACCTCCTTGTCAAGGAAGGCTTCTTGCAGCATAGCAGTGCGAGCGCACGTGCAGTTCTTAAGGCCATGAAGAGAATTGCGCGAAAACACGGGCTCCCAGAAATGAAGACTTTGAATGGCTACGTGTTTCGCATCATGGCACGCCTGAACAGAAATCCCAATCGCACAGGGATTGTTGAATTTCGGCCCTGATGAGCGGTGGCATGAGCAGTGGCACATGACTTGTGCGATCTCTGCGGTAGTTGAGCGCAACAGAGACCGCGAGCTTCAACTCGGGACTTCCCGACACTTTGATTCGAGGGTTGAGGGTTGAGGGTACTAGGGTACCAGGGTCTTCGGAATTTAGCGCTTTTAGGAGGTATTTTTAGGCTTTTAGGGTTTAGGGGTTTAGGGTTTCGGGTATGAATTAGGGTATTGGGGTCCCACTTGGTGCGCCTCACGCCCCTTCAAAACCCGCTACCCAGACTGCTGGGAGGATCCAAAACAGTTGATCCCCTTGAGGGTTCCTAAGCATGACCCAGTAGTAGTATAGGGCACTACTGCGCGAGGTCGATAGTTCGACCCACCGGCGTCGAGAATCTTAGGCCCGTGCCCCAACCCTCTTTCCCATAGACTCCTGACACAAGTGAGGTTCCAGAACTACATTTTTAAAACGGGGTGTTACTCTGCTAGCCGGCGTAGTGAAGACGACACTTTTCGGCATTCCGCTACTCCGCAAGAGTCGTTTATACCTGCGTGCTAAATAAGAGGCCCCGTAGCTCGAAACTTTCGGCCCGGGGATGTATTTGGGGGGTTTTACTTTTGGATCGTCCCAGGGTCTGGGTACGAACCCCCACACCCGTTAGCCCTAAGAACCTTTAAAAAGCCTCTAAAGCCCGAAACCCTAACACCCTAAAAGCCTACATCCCTAATACCCCAAACCCTAGAACCCGAATACCCCAGCACCCTAAACCGTTTAGGGTTAGGGCTTCCGAAACCCTAAACCCTAAACCCTAAACCCTAACGGTTAGGGTTTCCTAAACCCTTCCCAGGCCGGAGCGCGGAAGAAGCGAGCTCCCTGCCTGGGGGCCCCAGCGAACTTTCGGGAAAGAAGGGTTAGGGTTTAGGCTTTAGGGTTTCGGGTTTAGGGTTCAGGGTTTAGGGTTCCGATCTTGGGGTGTGCGGTTTTGGTGTTTGGGTGTTCGGGGTTTAGGGGTTTGGGGCTGGGAGGGGCTCCTCATGGGATGTTCCCCCTTATACAGTCCGAAAAAGGGGGTACTATAATCCTTATTAAGGACTGTTAGTATAAGGGGGAACATCAAGGCTCAATAAAAGAAGGGCATATCCTCCCGAAGCCCGAAACCCGAAACCCGAAAACCCGAAAACCCGAAAACCCGAAAACCCGAAAACCCGAAAACCCGAAACCCCAAACCCCAAACCCCAAACCCTAAACCCGAAACCCTAAACCTAAGCCCTGAAACCTAAACCCTAAACCCTAAACCCTAAACCCTAAACCCTAAACCCTAAACCCTAAACCCTAAACCCTAAACCCTAAACCCTAAACCCAAGGGTAAGGGGTAGTGCTTCTTCAGCCTTGATCTTCGTGCGCGGACATGGCCCAGGCGCCGGTCCACTGGAGATGATGTCCTTCATGGAGGAGGAGTCATGGATTTAGGATTTGGGGGTAGGGTTTCGGGTTTAGGGTGTAGGGTATGTAGGGTATTTAGGGTTTAGGGTTATTCAGGGTTTCGGGTTTAGGTTTAGGGCTCCATGGAGGTGGAGGAGTCATGGACTTTGGATTTTGGGTGTTGGGCCTAAGGTGTTTAGGGTTTAGGGCTTGATGGAGGAGGAGTCATTGATTTGGGTTTTTTTTTTTTTTTTTTTTTTGGGGGGGGGGGGGGGGGGGGGGGGGGTTTTAGGGGTTTCGGGGGGCTTTCGGGGGTTTAGGGTTTTCTGGTTTGGGGTTTGGGGTTCAGGATGCGGGGTTTAATTAGGGTTTGGGGTTCAGGGTTTAGGGCTTACAGGGTTTTCGGATGTAGGGTTGAGGGCCTTTTGTGTTTTGGGTTTAGGGCCTTAGGGCCTTAGAGCTTCTGGGTTTTGGTTTGCGGCCTGGGGTTTAGGGTTTTAGGGGATCGGGGCTTAGCGAGGAGGGCGGCTCTATCAGAGTGGTTTGGGATTTTGCGGGTTGTTCGGGCCTTCAGCATTAGGTTTTAGGGTTTGGGTAGGGATGTTCCCCCTTATGCTAACAGTCCTTCATAGGAATGTTGTGGCACCCCCTATTATAATCCCTATTAAGGACTGTTGGTATAAGGGGAACATCCCAAGGTGTGGGTGATTGTCGGCTTGTTTTGTATTTGTAAAGGGGGGTTTTTAGGTGCCTAAACCCTAAACCCTAAACCCTAAGCCCTAAACCCTAAACCCTAAACCCTAAACCCTAAACCCTGAACCCTGAACCCTGAACCCTGGACCCTGGACCCTGGACCCTGGAACCCTAAACCCTAAACCCTAAACCCTAAACCCTAAACCCTAAACCCTAAACCCTGGGTTCGGGTGTCCCTCGGCGTTTTTTTGTCTTTTGTAAAGGGGGTTTTATAGGTGCTGCAGCTACGTGCCTAGGGCTTCTGTGGCTCGCCCTCTCAGGAGATCGAGGAGCAAGTCCCCGTGGCAGCCGCTGAGCTTGGGAATGAACCCAAAGCCCCCGCCCCCAACAAAAGCCCAGCACCCATTAAGGTAAGCTACCCTGAAACCCTAAACCCCGAAGTCTCTTGAGCCCTTAAGCTGAAAAGTACCGTAGTTCCCTAAGCCTGAATCCCGAAACCCCCAAACCTCCCCTCCTCAGCTCCTCATCCCCTCAGGCCCGAAACCAGCCCTACCACTCCGGAACCTGCCTGTCCCACTCCTTACAGGACTCCTAAGACCCCAAGACCCGAAACCCCAAACAGCCCTAAGAGCTGCGAGAGCGCCAAGAGCTCTCAGAGCTCCAAAAAGACGCAACGGCCCCCCCACTGTAAACCGCCCTACAGCCATTCCGAGCCCTAAAACGCACTACCCTGAATTTCCTAAGACCCCTAAACCCCAATCCCTAAACCCTAAACCCCAAACCCTAAACCCTAAACCCCCCTTTCCCTAAAAGGAGCCCTATTGGAGGTCGTCAACAGCCCCAGGTCTTCCGCGTGGAGACGCTGAAGGTGGCTGGGAAGGCGGGCGATCCGCTGCCCAAGGCTGCGCTGGCTGGGCCCAAGATGCCCCTTCGGCCGCCTGTTTGGGGTTTAGGGCTTGGGGTTTAGGTTTGGGGTTTAGGGTTTGGGGTTTGGGGTTTTGGGTTTTGGGGTTTAGGGTTCAGGGTTCAGGGTTTTTCGGGTGCAGGGATTAGGATCTAAGTGTTTAGGGTTCAAGGGTTTAGGGATTAGGGGTGTTGGGGTGTTGGTTAGGCGTTCAGGGCTCTAGAGTTCAGGGTTTGGGCTCTCAGGGGGCAGGAGGCTTAGGGCTTTTGAGGATGCTAGGGTTTAGGGCTCTTGGCCTCTTGGGGCGACACTGTAACCCCCCGAGGCCCGAAGACCTTAAAGTTCAAGGTGAGGGGTTTCGGGTTTAGGGTTTAGGGTTTAGAGTTTAGGGTTTAGGGTTTAGGGTTTAGGGTTTAGGGTTAGGGTTTAGGGTTTAGGGTTTACGGCTCAGGCTTTTCATCGCCAAGGCGTTCTCACCGAACAAAACCTAAACCCTAAGGGGTTTAGGGTTTAGGTTGGTTTTGGGTTTGTCTTTAGACCTTCACATTAGGGGTATCGGGTCTTAGGGCTTCAGGGGTTCGCGTGTCAGGGCACACCCTAAATCCTAGCCCTAAACCCTAAACCCTAAACCTTAAACCCTAAACCCTCAACTCTAAACCCTAAACCCTAAACCCTAAACCCTAAACCCTAAACCCTAAACCCTAAATGTAAACCCTAAACCCTAAACCCTAAACCCTAAACCCTAAACCCTAAACCCTAAACCCTAAACCCTAAACCCTAAACCCTAAACCCTAAACCCTTTAAACCCTAAACCCTAAACCCTAAACCCTAAACCCTAAACCCTAAACCCTAAACCCTAAACCCTAAACCCTAAACCCTAAACCCTAAACCCTAGCCCTAAACCCTAAACCCAAAAACCCTCGAGATGCAAACTTGTGGGCCTTCAGGGAGCAGCTCCAGCATCTGCCCATGGGGGTCCACTCTTCAGGGTTTAGGGCTTAGGGCCTTTTAGGGTTTAGGGTTTAACCCTAAACCCTAAACCCGAAACCCTAAACCCTAAACCCTAAACCCCAACCCCCCAATCGCGCTCGCAGCCACAGGAGGGGACTGTCGTCGAGGGACGACACCCCCAGGTACTTTTCCCAAAAGAGGGGGGTACCCGTAGAATCGCCTGAATGAAAGGGACCCCAAAAAGGGTACCCCTATTTTCGGAACCCCCAAGTCAGGGGTACCTTATTGGGGTCCTTCGCATAAGGGCATCCGACTATCTTGGGGGTTCTATTCTAGGGGTCCCCTACTTTTCGTAAACCCCCATATGACCTCATGGCTCCTAAGTTAAGTGAGTTTGGGGTTTTAGGGTTTAGGGTTTAGGGTCTTGGGGGGCGGATTCAGGGCGGGAGAATTCGTCCCAACTCATGCAAATACAAAGTGGTCGCGCCCATGGACAGGATACCCTAAGCCCTAAACCCTTAACCCTAAACCCGAAGCCCTAAAACCTAAACCCTAGACTTTTGGGTAGCTGCTTCGCTGGGTGCAGCTGCTGAAATGCCATGGCATCTGCTGAAGTTCCAGCGGAGCGGGTGGGCTGCACCAGCTTCGCTGAGGAGAGTCAGGAGGAAGAGGGTGAGGAGGATGTTGGGTTGGTCTTTGGGAGAACTTTTCACTTACTGTTGGTTAGTAGGGAATGGGGGAATGAGGTACCCCATAGTTATGCCCCCTACACATACATATATATATATATATATACCCCCTTTAAGGGCAGGGGTACCTCATTCCCTCATTCCCTACTAACCAACAGTAAGTTACTTTCCCTTCTTTCCTTATAGAGGGAACCTGTTTATCAATAATTCTCAAAGGCTTCAAAAAAACACAACCAAGGATTTTCGTGTAGATGCAGCCCCCCTGGACATCTCAGTCAAGGGAGTGGCCGGCCTGGTGGCCAACATGGAGCCAGTGCATCCCAGCATGCTTCGGGCAACCCGAGCAGGGCTGGTGCTGAAATCCGGTGGCTCCGCGCTGAGGGGGTTCAACCGCGACCTTTATCAATACAGCGACCCTGTACAGTCGATTGAAGTCTTTTGGAGCCACAGCTGGCATGGAAACAGGCACTTGAACTTCGTCATAGTTGGGTAACATTTTTACACTTCCAAAGGAACTTAAACCCCAAAAAAAGCATTTTTTCATATTCTCCCAACCATGAAACAAGGAAGATACTTCTGCTTCTGCTGCTTTACAATGGCCCTCCTGCCATCATCCTGGCAACGATCTCCGCGGGGCTGATGATGGTCTTGCAAAGTTCTGACCTCTTGCCTGGCTACCCGGCGGTTTGGCGTTTTGGGGTTGTCGGGTTTAGGGCTTAGAGTTTGGGTTTAGGGTTTAGGGTTTAGGGTTCAGAACTTTAAGGCATGTGTCGGCGTAGTATACACCATCTAGCACGTGCAAAGGCCAACCTTTAGCATCCCACATGTCTGGAGGCGAACAAGCTCTAAACCCCTAAAACTTTACAAACTCTTGAGTCTTTAGCACGAAAAGCCCTAAACCATTTAACACGAAGAAGCCTCAAACCTCAAACCCCTCGAGCCCTCAAAGCCCTAACCCATGAAGCCATGAAGGCCCTAGGTACCCTGAACCCTTGTTATACAAATCAAGGGCCCCTAAACCATAAACCCTAGACCTCTCTATCATATGATAGCTTAAACCTTACTGAATTCGTGGTTCATGGCCAATTTTTCGCGGTTCGTGGCCAATCGACATTTTTTTCGCAGTGGTTCATGCCTTTGAAGCTGAGATGATTGGAGAATCTTTTTGTTTTCGGAATGCTATGGGATTCTCTGGGTGGGTGAGTGTTGTATCAGAGCCGAATATTTTTCTTTTTTTAGAAACGTATATATATATATATATATATTATGTATATATATATATATATATATAAACGTATGTATATATATATGTATATAGAAAGACAACTTTACAATAAACAACTGCTCGATGCGGAGCTGCTGAACCCTAAACCCTAAACTGTAAGAACCCTAAACCCTAAACCCTAAACCCTAAGAACTAAGAACCCTAAACCCTAAACCCTAAACCCTAAACCCTAAACCCTAAACCCTAAGAACCCTAAGCCCTAAACCCGAAGTAAGCCTGGGCAAGGCTGGGAGCGTGGGACCCGCTTTGTTGTGGATCAGGGGGCAGAGCAAATCTTTGGCACATGGTGCACGCTGACAGGTGGGGGGTTTAGGGTTTAGGGTTTAGGATTTAGGGTTCCCTTGTAATTAATAAGGAAGGACCCCAGGAAGGTCCCCCCAAAATCGTACACCCACCAGGTGGCCTTGTGTTTACCGTGCTCCTCTTGACGTGGAGCCTTGGCTGTTCTTGAAACATTTTCGTTTGATTTTGACGTCGTGCTTTTAGGACGGAGCTCTTGCACACTGCTAATTTTATGAGGGGCATGTTCTTTAGGAGAGAGAGAGAGAGGAGCTGCCCCCACAAAGCTGCACAGGAGATCCAAGCGCCGGGTTTTCTACGACCAGATGTGCATTCAGCAGCAGAACGTGATCTTGAAGACCGCTGGCATTCTCAGCATCGGCGCCTGCCTCAAGCACTCCGACCAGCTGCTGATTCTTACCTGTTGGTTCGTAGGGGAATGAGGGTTTAGGGTTTAGGGTTTAGGGTTTAGGATTTAGGGTTTAGGGTTTAGGGTTTAGGGTACCCCTATATAAGCCCTAATAGATACGCCCTGTTTTGAGGGATTCGTACAGGGTACCCGATATCCCTCATTAACAGTAAGGATTGTGTGGGACGACACCTACGCTGCGCGCTTGTGGTGCATGCTAGAGTCGCTTGGGGACTAGGTAGGCAACCTTTAACCTTTTTGGTTACAGAGAATCCTACAAAACATATGTTTGTTTATAAAGGAGACCTTTTTTTGTTGGGCTAGGGCATTCAGCGCCCCTCAGGTTGGCGGCATTCTTGAAAAGCCACGAGCTCCAAGAGCAGAAGGTTCAGATCCGGCTTGCCGTCATGGCCCCGTGCATCCTAGGGGTCGGCTTTGCCCTTTGGGCCACCATGCTGCAGTGGCTGCTGTTTTTTGATCAGACACTCGCTGGGACCTTGGGGACATCTTGTCTACAATCCCCTTTTTTGGGGAGGGTTTGAGAGGATCCTATACAGTAGCATGCTTTTTCTTTTTTGGGGTTTAAGAGGGTCCTATTCAGTAGCATTTTCAGAGGTCCATCCTAGGACGTATCTGGACACCGTGGTGCTTCTGGTCATCCGCTGGCCGTTCATGTACTTTGCCGCGGCCGCCTTGCGATCGCACTACCGTAACACAGAGGCGATGCTGCGACAGCTCACGAGCTTTACAGTCGCTTGCAGATGGTGCGTAGGGCAAGTGGGGAATGGGGCACCCTAATCCCTTAAAGGGTTTATGATAGTAATCCTTTAAAGGGTATATCATAGGGGGATATAGGGTACCCTAATATCCCCTCATCCCCTACTAAGCAACAGTAAGGTCGAGAGCGCTGGGTGTCACTGCTGCAAGAGGGGTCAGGCATGCTTGAGCGAGATCTGTGATCGCGCCGTCATCAAGCAGTGCATTCGCACCTGGTACGGTTCTGCCGAGAACTTCGAGGAGACCATGCAGACCCCCTTTAGGAGTTACCTTTCTTTATCTCCTGTTTGCACAAACCCCTTAAGGGGATGTTTTAAGAATATTGCTGTTTATTCAGGTTGCAAAGGGGAGCAGCCCAAATGGGGAAAACCCTAAACCCTAAACCCTAAACCCTAAACCCTAAACCCTAAACCCTAAACCCTAAACCCTAAACCCTAGAGGAGACTGTGAAGACTCGTGTCCAGACCATGCTCTACCGCCAGCTGGGTGGAATGTTGTTTCCTTACGGCTGGAAAGTGGTGGGCGGATCGCCTCTGCTGCTTACCTAGCCAACAGTTTAGGGTTTAGGGTTTAGGGTCTAGAATTTAGGGTTTAGGGTTTAGGGTTTAGGGTCTAGGGTTTAGGGTTTAGGGTTTAGGGTTTAGGGCTTATTATTTAGTAGAAAAAAACTACAGCTTAGCCTTTTGTTTCCCCCTTTGGGCATTGGGAGAAGTCAGGCTCTGGGGCTTCTGCGACATGACGGCTGCGCGATTGCGATCTGGGAGCTGGCGCGCAGCTGCCATCATGTTCCTTGCTCTCTCTATAATCCCTTAAAGGGTATATCTATATATATGCTTATATATATATATATAGGGGGGGATGTAGGGTCCCTGTGTAATCCCATAAAGGGTATACTATAGGGGGATATAGGGTTTCTATGGTAATCCCTTAAAGGGTATACTATAGGGGGATATAGGGTCCCTATGGTAATATATTATAGGGGGATATAGGGCTCCTGTGGTAATCCCTGAAAGGGTATATATATATATATATAGGGGGTTATAGGGTCCCTATGGTAATCCCTTAAAGGGTATATTATAGGGGGATATAGGGTCCCTGTGGTAATCCCTTTAAGGGTATACTATAGGGGGGTATAGGGTCCCTGTGGTAATCCCTTAAAGGGTATATTATAGGGGGATATAGGGTCCCTGTGCAATCCCTTTAAGGGTGTATATATGGGGGATATAGGGTCCCTGTGTAATCCCTTTAAGGGTATTTTGGGGGATATAGGGTCCCTATGGTAATCCCTTAAAGGGTATATTCTAGGGGGATATAGGGTCCCTGTGTAATCCCTTTAAGGGTATACTATAGGGGACATAGGGTCCCTATGTAATCCCTTAAAGGGTATATTCTAGGGGGATAGAGGGTCCCTATGGTACTCCCTTAAGGGTCCCTATCTAATCCCTTTAAGGGTACATTTTGGGGGGACATAGGGTCCCTATGTAATCCCTTAAAGGGTATATTCTAGGGGGATACAGGGTACCCTATATCCTTCATTCCCTACCAACCGTAAGGTTCGCTGGCGGCCTCGCCTGGTGGCTCTTCTTCTGCCCACACCTCTTCCAGCTTGCATTGCTTCTGGCCACTTAGGGATACTTGGAAATATGTTTTGAGTTTTGTGGGTACCTTAGTTCCCAAGAAACAGCTAGAATTGTAGTCTGTGCTAGGGTTCCAAGTTCAGTTTAGGCCAGGTATTTTCGCAAGAAGGCGCCCGGCACCTGGCAAGACAGGTTTAAGAGTATGGCGGTGGCACTGCTGCTGACCCTCGTCTCCTTTATTGGAAACATCACGTCGCTTGTGCAAGGTCGCTTGCCGACACTTCTTTGGTTTACTGCTCCAGTGCTAGTTGCCGGGGTGACGTGGCTTATCAGTCGATATCAAGCTGTCACCCAGAACTCGGCGGAGCTGGATCCGGAAAATCGCGTCGGGAACCAGGTTCATAGCCTGGATGGTGCTGTTGACACGATCGTTTCACTTTGAGCCGCGCGGCAGCCCGCATAAATGGGCGGACACCGCAAGTGAAGAAGATCACAACCAGGACCGGGGATCCGCGAAGTCGGGTTTAGGGTTTAGGGTTAGGGTTTAGGGTTTTGGGTTTTGGGTTTAGGGTTTAGGGTTTAGGGTTTGGGGTTTGGGGTTTGGGGTTTTGGGGGTTTAGTAATCCCTGTACCCTAAACCTAAATGCGCAATCGAGCTTCACTTGCATAAGATTTCCGGTGCAGGGTTTAGGGACCAATGACCCAGGTGTGGCATTTAGGATTTAGGGATTTGCAGGGTTTGGGGTTTAGGGTTTAGGGTTTAGGGTTTTGGGTTTGGGGTTTAGGGGTTCCGGGCGGCCCTCTAAACCCGAAACCCCTCTGAACCCTAAACCCTAAACCCCTCTAAACCCTACAAGGCCCACGCTTGTCTGCACGATGTCTAGCAGCCGCGAGATGGACCGCCTGCCGCGCCCAGGCCGCAAGGCCTCTGGCGCTGTTGGGTTCTGGGGTGGTTTAGGGTTTAAGGCTTAGGGTTTATGGTTTACGGTTTAGATTTTAGGTTTAGGGTTTAGGGTTGAGGACTTGGGGTTTAGGGTTTAGGGTTTAGGGCTTGGGGTTTGGGGTTTGGGGTTTGGGGCTTCAGGTTTGGGGTTTAGAGCTTGGGGTTTAGGGTTTAGGGCTTGGGGTTTAGGGTTTAGGGCTTGGGGTTTAGGGTTTAGGGTTTAGGGTTTAGGGCTTGGGGTTTAGGGTTTAGGGTTTAGGGCTTAGGGCTTAGGGCTTACAGCTTAGGGTTTAGGGCTTGGGGCTTGGGGCTTGGGGTTGGCTTGGGGTTTAGGGTTTGGGGCTTGGGGTTTAGGGTTTTGGGCTTGGGGTTTAGGGTTCAGGGTTTGGGGTCTGGGGTTGAGGGCTTGGGGTTTAGGGTTTAGGGCTTGGGGTTAGGCTTTAGGGTTTGGGGTGTGGGGTTGAAGGTTAAGGAAACCCCAAACGTGCTTGCTCTTTGGGGATAGGGGGGGGGGGGGGGGGTCTGCAGAGTCCCGAATGGGCTTGCAAAGGGTCGACTAAAAGCTTTCTTGGGGGTTGGGATTTGCGCTACCCACCGTGGGCCCTCCGTTACAGCTCCGTTACAGCACCTGCTACAGTTCCGTTACAGCTCCGTTGCACCTCCGTTACAGCCCCGTTACAGCTCCCGTGCACCCCCGTTACAGCTCCTTTACAGCTTCCGTTACAGCTCCGTCGCAGCCCCGTTGCACATCCGTTACAGCTCCGTTACAGCTTCCGCTATGCAGCTTCCGTTACAGCTCCGCCACAGCTCCAGTACAGCTCCGATGCACCTCCGCTACAGCTCCGTTACAGCTTCCGTTACAGATCAATTATACAGCTCCGTTACAGATCCGTTACAGCTCCGCCACAGCTCCCGCTACAGCTCAGTTGTACAGCTCCGTTACAGTTCCGTTACAGGCCCGTTATCAAGTTGCTGCTTCTGCTACGGCTCCGTTACAGCTTCCGTTACAGCATCGCTACAGCCGGTAGCGCTCCGTTGCAGCCTTCCGATACGCTCCGCGACAAGTCCGTTACAGCTCCGCTCCTGTCCGTTACAGTTTCCGTTACAAGCCCCGTTACCAGCGAGCATTTCTGTCATAGTAGAGGCCTGCAAATGATGGTAGAGCCCCGCCCCAACTTTAAACCCTAAACCCTAAACCCCTTCAAAGCCTGGAGCCCTGGGATCCAAGAGCACATCCTAAACCTGAACCCTAAGCCCTAAAAGCGCCTAAAACCCTTGAACCCCAAAAAAAACCTTAAAGCCTTTAAGGCCCAACAGCCCGTAAAAGCCCAGAAAAAAACCCTAATAAAACCCTAAAACCCTGCAACCCTAAAACCCTAAAACCCCGGCTCCCGAACCCTTGCATGCATCAAGCTTGGAATTTTCCGGACCCAACAGGGTTTAGTGTTTAGGGGTTCAGGGCTCTGTGGCGCCAAACCTTGCTTGAAAGCTTTCACCCAGTCCGAAATCCCCAACTCCAAACCCGAAAACCCTAAACCCCAAGCCCTCTTTGAAAAACTGAAAAACCCAGACCCAAACCCCAAACCCTGAACCCCAAACCCTAAACCCGAAACCCCAAACCCCAAACCCTAAACCCTAAACCCGAAAACCCTAAACCCTAAACCCCAGACGCTGCTCCGAGGGTCGCTCAGCGCTCCCTCCCCCTGGGCCCACAAACCACTGTGGGCCGAGAGCATCAACAGGCCCCCCGGTTCTTAGTAGGGATAGGGCCCTAAACCCTAAACCCTAAACCCTAAACCCTAAACCCTAAACCCTAAACCCTAAACCCTAAACCCCCCTCATTCCTTACTTTCTCGACAGGGTTTAGGCTTTAGGGTGTAGGGTTCCGGGTTTAGGGTTTAGGGTTCAGGGCCCTATCCCTTCTATAACCACTCAAAGCCCCAGAGAAAAGGTTCAGAGAGGCGGGGCTAGGGTTAGGGTTCTCTTCACTCGCATGCGGGTCTAAGTGCCCACCATATGGGGGAGTTTGGGGTTTAGGGTTTAGGGTCTAGGGTTTGGAACGGTTTCTGCATCCGCCCATGTCGTTCGCACACGTCTGCCAGACGTATGCAAGTTGACAGAACACCCCAAACCCTAAACCCGTCGCTGTCCCTAAGAGCCAAGCCCCAACCTACTTGGCCGAAATTTTTGCGTTCCTTCAAACCGCTCTTGGGCGGTTCGGGAAGTTTGGGGTTTGGGGATTAGGGCTTGGGTTGGGTTTAGGATTTTGGGTTTAGGGGTTTGGGGTTTGGGGTTTAGGGTTTTGGGTTTAGGGTTTAGGGTTTAGGGTTCACTGCCGCGCACAGGAGTTTTTCGAGACAGTCCTCGGCCATCACAGCCCCTACTGGACGGCATTTCAGCAAAACTCAGACCTAGATGCAGGATTGTGGGTTGAGGGTTTAGGGTTTAGGGTTTAGGGTTTAGGTTTGCGGAATCTTAGTCTCTGAGAGAAGATCGCTTGTGTGATCCCCTAGCTCTAGACTAGAGCGTTGGTTGAGCGTTGGTTGCGTCTGAGCCTCAACAAGAATGAACGGTGAGCCATGGGTAAGCCGGAGACACCTTTCCCGTTTTTCGAGCCCCGTGAACCGTATGAACCTGTGGCCCTTACACCCTATAGACTCCAAAGGCACCAAAGCCGAAACCCCAAAGCCCAAGACCTTGAACCCTAATTCTGAAAACCACAAAAACTTAACACTAAACCCTAAACACCCTAAAACCCGAAACGCCCTAAAGCCTAAAACCCTCAAACCCTAAAACCCTACAACCCCAAAACCGTAAGAACCCTGCAACCCTAAAACAGCCCTAAACCCTAAACTTAAAACCCTGAAACCCTAGAAATCCTAGAAACCCTAGAACCCAAAAACCCTAAAAACCTAAAGCCCTCAACGCCTACAACCCTAAGCCCCCAAGAACTTAAACCCTAGAACAGCCCTAACTAGAACCCCTAGAAACCCTAGAAACCCCAGAAACCATAGACACCCCACAAAACCTAGAGATCCTGGAACTATAGAAACCCTATACAAACCCTAGAAACCCGATAGAAACCCTGTCCCTAGAAACCCTATAGAAACCCTATAGAAACCCTAGAAACCCTAGAAACCCTATAGAAACCCTAGATACCCTACAAAACACCCTAAAAACCCCTCCAAACCCTACAAACCCTAAAAATCAACTCAAAACCCTAGAAACCCGAGAAAGACTGTTTGAAAGCATATAGAAAGCCTATAGAAAGCCTGTAGAAAGCCTACAGAAAGCCTCGAAAGCCTAGAAACCCGTCTTCCAGCCCCCAGGCGATCTCCCGAAGCCACCTTGAGGTGGCGCAAGTAGCCGAAAGCTTCCTCGTTCGGCCCCTTGGGAAGCACACGTTATTGAGGGAGGGTTTAGGGTTTAGGGTTTAGGGTTTAGGGCTTCGGTCCCTTGGGAAGCACACGGGAGACATGGGTTTAGGGGGTTGCCTGGGCCATTCTTGAAAGTCAGGTTACATGTTTATGCATGCTTAAGAACAATAAGGAGCACGAATGATCATGTCTAATCGTACCCCCAACAATGGTGCAGTTTAGGGGTTGAGGGGTTTAGGGGGGTGTAGGGTTGAGGGTTTAGTGTTTAGGGTTGATAGGGTTTACAGCGTCTTTTGAGGTTTAGGGCTTAGGGGATGACACAGATCGGGGAGTCTGTTCCACAAGCAGCGAAACAGCTGACAAACCCAAAAACCCTATGAAGTCGAAAACCCGATAAACTTGAAAGCCCCACCCTGAAAAGTCAAAAGAAAAAAAACACCAAACCCTAAACACCTAAACCCTAAACCCTTCTCCAAAAAAGAGACCGGGGCCCCGCGCGGTTGTGAATTCTGACCAGGAACCTCAGCGTCAACCACGTCATGGTGGGTGCCTGGCCTTCTTTGAAGTGGCTTTAGGGGCTCGTTAGGTCTCTTTAGAGGCTGTTTAGAGGGGCTCTTCAGTGGTTTTGGGGGGCTTCAAGGGCTTTCGGAACTTTAGGGTTGTTTGGGTTTTGGGGCCCTAACCCTAAACCCTAAACCCTACACCCTGGCTCCGTCGCATGGGGGCGCTTGCCCACGTTTTTTTCTTGTTTTGCAGGGGTCCGCCACTTTCCGATCGTCATGTCAGCCATGCAAGCACGCTAAAGCTTGGAGAACCATGAGCAAACCCTAAAACCCTAAACCCCAAACCCTAAACCCTAAACCCCATAAGGCGGGAAGCAGCTCCAGCGCGGAGAGCAGGGCACCTTGCAGGTATCGCCCCACTTAGGGCTTGTAGGGTGTTTAGAGGCTAAAGGGTTCATATGGGGTTATAACGTTTTTTGGGGGGTTTTAAAGGGTTTAACAGGGCTTTATAGTGTTCCGTGGGTTGTATAGGGCTTTGTAGGGTTTTGTAGGGTTAGGGTTAGGGTTTGGGCTTTAGGAGTCGGGTTGGGCTTAAGGGTTCTCAGGGTTTTACAGGGCT